GTACATTTTTATTCTCCTATTGTATATTTTTATACAATATACATATAGTGTATACAATATACATATACAATATGTATTGTAGGAAACAAAAAAATTTCCCCCTCAACCCTCATGAATTCTTAGTTGGGATGGATCCCTATAACAAAAGATAGATTAATAAGACGGAAACAAACATGTTTATTAACGTTCAGTGCTCATCATATGGGATAAACCCCATGGAAGTGTAACTCGAAGTGGTGGTTTGGAACTCTGGCTTGTAGAGCACCTTCAACAAAAAATAAACTTGTGGGGAAATGACAGGACAAAGGAAAATTATTTTAGGCTTCCAAGGCTGGGAAACTGTGGGAAGGTAAATATATGAGTGGAAAATATGAGTAAGTTTGTTTGCGGATTCCTCTGGTGCTGTCTCTGGGCTGGTAAGAGTTTAGAGTTGTCTCCAGTTAAGGAGAATTTATATCCTGCCCTTAGGCAGAAAAGCAGGAGGATAGGGAAAATTTTCCCTCCGTTTGCTGCTTCTTCATTGCCTTTATCTCAAAAATAATTTTCTTGTCAAAGAGGCAGATGTCGAGGTCACCTATTCTGGTTTTCCTCAATAGATTACTCTTTCTTGCATAGTCACTAAGTACTATACCCTGAAGATTACCTGTATTGCTAAGTATTGATCTGATCTATGCATTCTGACTGTTACAGAATATTGAATGTTGTGCATCCACCACAATTTTTCTGCCTTATAACTTTCCATCTAACCCCCTTCTATCCCAAGCAATGCTGTAGTAAACGTAGTTCGATATCTCCTTATCCACCTATGTGAGAATTTCTTTGGCTTATGCATTTTTATTACATTCTCAATTCAGAACTCCTGGGTCATAGGTTATGCATATATTTAATTTGAATAAGTATTACCAAATTAGTCCCCATCGTGGCTACTCCAGTCTATATTCTCAGTGGCCTCGATGAAATTTCTCTATCTGAATATCCCTGTCATTACTTAGCATTCTTTAGCTTTCTGATGTTTCACAAGTCCAATGAGCATCAGATGATATTGTATTGCCATTTTAATTTTCATCTCTGATTATTAATGAGTTTGAACAATGTCTATGTGCCTATTAACTTTTAAAGAAATTATCTCTGTAAGCCCAACAGTGGGCATTTCCTGGCATATAATGGATCCTTAGTGTATGATTGAAAGAAAGACAGTATAGCACACAAAATTCCCAAATTAGTCTCAGGCTTTGATTTTTGGTTCTTGTTGGTTATCTCAAAATCTGAACAATAAGTAAATATTGGAATTAAATTTTTGAGGTAATTAACTAAATTAATCAGTTGTCCTGATTTTACAATAGAAGACTGTCGATAAGTTTGGCATAGAGAAATTAAACTTAAAAAATTCATAAAAATAGCATTTTTAAAAAGTTACCATATGATGTAAGGAGTGACTGTGAGTTATATTTTCCCATTTTGTAGATGAGCAAATGAGTTCAGGAGAGATTTAAATACCCTATGAAAAGCATGCAGAATTCTGGCTGTCTCTTATACACATCTAGATGTGTATAAGAGACAGGTCATAGGTTATGCATATATTTAATTTGAATAAGTATTACCAAATTAGTCCCCATCGTGGCTACTCCAGTCTATATTCTCAGTGGCCTCGATGAAATTTCTCTATCTGAATATCCCTGTCATTACTTAGCATTCTTTAGCTTTCTGATGTTTCACAAGTCCAATGAGCATCAGATGATATTGTATTGCCATTTTAATTTTCATCTCTGATTATTAATGAGTTTGAACAATGTCTATGTGCCTATTAACTTTTAAAGAAATTATCTCTGTAAGCCCAACAGTGGGCATTTCCTGGCATATAATGGATCCTTAGTGTATGATTGAAAGAAAGACAGTATAGCACACAAAATTCCCAAATTAGTCTCAGGCTTTGATTTTTGGTTCTTGTTGGTTATCTCAAAATCTGAACAATAAGTAAATATTGGAATTAAATTTTTGAGGTAATTAACTAAATTAATCAGTTGTCCTGATTTTACAATAGAAGACTGTCGATAAGTTTGGCATAGAGAAATTAAACTTAAAAAATTCATAAAAATAGCATTTTTAAAAAGTTACCATATGATGTAAGGAGTGACTGTGAGTTATATTTTCCCATTTTGTAGATGAGCAAATGAGTTCAGGAGAGATTTAAATACCCTATGAAAAGCATGCAGAATTCTGGTAGCACTATAAGGATAAAGAAAAAAGATTGGGCCATTTAGCTAGGGCTGGCATGAGTTAATTATAATCATGATGTGATTAATAAAACGATATAACACCAATCATGTCATGAAGTTCTATTCTCTGCCTTTGAATAGTAGTAAACTAGGATTATAATTTTATAATGACAGACCAGTTTAAGACAGAAGAGACATGACACATAAGACTCTCAACTTCTCACTATCTGCCTAAAATGTGCATGGACAAAATTGGTGTGTGCTAAAGGCAGTGCCACAGGAACCGAAACTAAAAGAATAAAAAAGAATTAAGAATGTATAAAACCGCTCTAACTTTATCCCTTGACTGCCTTGGGATCTCAAATAGAAATGCATGTCCATCAAAATGTAAGTGGAAGTATATGTTCAATTTGAAGCCGTGTCCTAAGAGTAGGATTTCACATAATGTGCTAGCTAAAGAGTAGAGGATTGGTAGAGCTTTTGTTAGGGATTTCCTTCCAGCCTATCTTCACATCCTACCCTTTAAACATGCTTTTTTAAATGTCACAGCAGAGCACCTAGAAAACCTATTTTTCCAAGTTATGACTCCTCTCTTTCCTACATACGTTTATTCTTCTAGTCATCCAAATTACTATCTTACTAGTAGCAATCTGTGAGTCTGTCTGTGCATTCATGCATCCACCTAATCAGCTGTCTACATACTTATCCATATATTTTAAGCAATAAAAATTTCATTTTGTAGCCTCTTTTACTAGTGCACTTACCCAGAACAGAAAGTCTTCCACTCAGAAGACCAGTTCTTGGAGTCACCAGATAAAGTTCATATATGATATAAGGTATAGTCACATCATCAGTATACTAACATTTACTATAATACAGTCATGCTTTTTAAAATCAAATACATGTGATTTTATAAAACCAAATGTA